GGGGGGAGGGGGGGTCAAAAATTGTTACGTAACACAGAAAAAAATGTTGTTTTTTATATTTTTCATTATTAATAAATTTAATTTTTCATTCTAAAACACAAATGTTAGTGTAGTTTTTATAGAATCTATGTTAATAAATGGTTAATGATCCTATTTCTTTAAAATTGTCGTTTCCATCCATGAAACTTAGCAGTTATGAACATTCTGATAAAAAAACACGACGAATGCAATGCATTTTCGTGACCGCGTGGTACATACGGAAAAAATCAAAAAAAAATTCTGCTTCTACTCTAAATTCAATTGCTTTTTATTACCGAAAAATTAAAAATATTTTTTGTTACGTAACAGGGGGGGGGGGGGTAAGTCGTTTGTTACGGAAGTGTTACGAAGGGGGGGGAGGGGGTCAAAATAGTCGTTTTTTCGTGTTACGTAATACTCGAATGGCCCCTAACTGACAAGCTGCATTTTTTCAACAAAACATAAATTTTAACAAAATAAAAATCACCGACCAGATGGACCAGGAAAGCCAGTAGCTCCAGTAAAGCCTACATCGCCAGGAATACCAACTGAGCCAGAAGGTCCAGGTTGACCGTTAGGTCCTTGAGGTCCAGGATTGCCGGAAAAACCTGGAGCACCACGATCTCCTGTGTTACCGGGATCACCTTTGGGACCGGCTAAACCCATTAAACCCGTACCTCCCGTGGAACCTGTTCCTCCTTGACCTCCTGGAGTTCCTTGAGGTCCTTTCAGCCCAAATGGGCCTGGTGATCCAGACGGACCACGAGGACCAGGTTGTCCAGTTTGGCCCGGACTACCTGGAGATCCAATATTACCTTGTGAACCAGGCTGACCAGTAGGCCCCTGAGGTCCCTGTTGTCCAGCTACACCAGTTGCTCCTTGTTGACCAGGCGCTCCAGGAGGTCCTAATGGTCCAAGGGGGCCTTGAGCACCATCATTTCCAGCAGGTCCCGTATCTCCTTTGGGTCCTTTTGGACCTGCTGGCCCCGTAGGCCCAATAGGACCAGTGCCTCCTTGCACTCCCTTTGGTCCAGTTGGACCTTGTAAACCGGCTGGTCCTTGAGGTCCTAAAGGTCCGGCAGAACCAGGTTGACCAGTTGGCCCAATTGGTCCTGGTTGTCCTATCGGTCCGGCTGGTCCTTGAAACCCTGCTTGTCCAGGAACTCCAGTGTCACCTCTATCTCCATTAGGTCCCATTTGTCCAGATTGTCCTATTTAATAAACAAATTTATACTAGAAACAGGGAATAACAATGAAATAAAATGTTAACGTTAAATGAAAATAACAAATATGATGATAAAAATATTAATAACATCAATAACAAAATAATTATTATAATTTTAATACAAATCTAGCCTGGTGGTCCTTGTGGTCCAATTCCTCCTTGTTGACCTTGAGGCCCAGCAGGACCCGGTTGACCAGATGGACCTTGTTGGCCAATAGGTCCTGGCTGTCCCGCCGGTCCAAGTGGCCCAGGTTGACCTGTAGATCCTTGCTGTCCCAAGGGACCAGCAGATCCAGTGTCTCCAACAAAACCAGGATTTCCAGTAGGTCCAGCGGGACCAGATGGACCAGTGTCACCTTGGGGTCCCAAAGGTCCTTGCTGCCCAGGCTGTCCAGGTAAACCCGGCTGTCCTGCTGGCCCTAATCCACCTATGGGCCCTGCAGGTCCTAGAGGTCCTTGTTGACCTGGTTGACCCACTGGTCCTGGTTGTCCAATGAATCCTGTATTACCAGTAGCTCCTTGAGGTCCTCTGGATCCTGGTGGTCCCGGGAGACCCAAGTCTCCGCTTGGTCCTTATATGTTTACAAAAATCAATATTTTTAATATAATTTTTAAAAATTTATAACAAGTTTTTTGAATTATTCGGTTAAATACCTGGAAAACCAGCAGGTCCAGAGGGTCCCTGAAATCCTTGTTCTCCGGGTTGACCAGGTTGTCCAGCAGACCCAGCAGAACCAGCAGGCCCTGGCTGCCCTGTTTGACCTGCTAATCCAGGAAGACCCGGTTGTCCGGGCTGTCCAGAAATGCCAGGAGATCCTATCGGTCCAATGGCTCCCTGTGGACCTTGTGATCCTGGTGAACCAGCTGGACCGGGTTGACCAATTGGACCAGATGGTCCAGGAAATCCAGTAGCACCTAAAGAATTAGTTGTAAATTCAGTAATTTTCATAAGCTGCAGAAATTACATTGATCTTAATTTTCATTGCTTTTAAAAACGACCTAAAAAAACTGTAAGACTTTATAAAATACAAAAACAACCTTGTGGCCCTGCTAATCCCATCTGTCCAGGTGCTCCAGTATCTCCGGGACTTCCTTTATTCCCAGAAGGTCCAGCAGGTCCTAGTGGTCCTTGAAATCCAGATTGACCAGTTGCACCAGGCAAGCCAGGAAACCCAGTAGCACCAGTTGATCCGGCACTTCCTGGAAGACCAGTTGAACCAGGTAATCCAATGTCTCCGGAAGGTCCAGGTTGACCAACATTACCCAGTGGTCCAGGTGATCCAGATGGACCTTTTGAACCAGGAGCACCGACAGGTCCTGGTTGTCCGTTGAATCCAGTAGGCCCAGGAAACCCAGTGTTGCCAACTGTTCCAGGTAAACCAGACTGTCCTGTGACAATGAGAATGTGACAACGATGATGATGCGTAGCGAAACGCTTGTTTACCCCGAACGTGTGAATTATAAATATTGTTTTTTTGAATTCATCTACACACATTGAATCTGTATGTGTTATCATAGTAAATTTGATTTCCTACCTTGTAAACCTTGTGGTCCAGGATTACCAAGCGGGCCAGGAGATCCTTGAATGCCAACAGATCCTGGCTGGCCGGGCTGACCGAGGGGACCAGGCTGACCAAGAGGACCAGAGGGACCAGTGTTTCCTTGGGCTCCCTGCGATCCTTGGGGTCCAACCGGTCCAATTGCTCCTGATTGACCGGTTGATCCAGTAGTACCAGTATAACCTTGTTGTCCTTGAGGTCCCGGTTGTCCGTCAATTCCTGTGATCATTTAAAATTTTTTCAATAGCATGAAAATTCTTTTTATAATTATATACTTAATTGTTCTTGCCAACAATTATAATCTGATAATAACTACATCTAAAGTCTTTGTATTTATTTTAAAAATTTTATACATTTATTGCGACAAATTTGTGAAACCTGGTGCGCCTGGAGGTCCTACAGGTCCTGATGGGCCAGACTGACCTGAGGGTCCTGTTGCACCTTTCGATCCTGGTTGACCTGGTGAACCTTGGAAGCCCGGAAATCCTGGCTGGCCGATTGGTCCAATTCCTCCCGGTTGACCTTGCGGCCCCGTATCGCCAGACGTTCCTGAAAAAAATTAAATAACTATATAACAAGAAAAAATGCCGAACAAAAAAAATAAACACAAAAAGGTTAATCAACCTTTTTGTCCTTGCGGTCCTTGTGGTCCCTGAGGTCCCGGGGGTCCAGGTGGTCCATTCAGCCCACTACTTCCAGCAGGACCTATTGGTCCAACAGGTCCTGGCAAACCAGTTCCTCCAGGTGTGCCTGTATCACCTTGAAGACCAGGCTGTCCAAGAGGACCGGGTGACCCGGGGTAACCGGCAGAGCCTGTATCACCTTGTAAACCAGGTGCCCCATTTGTTCCAGCTGGTCCTGTTGCACCCTGTGGACCTTTCATACCGGGAGATCCAGTTGAACCCTGACTTCCTGGCTGACCTTGTGCTCCAGAGGATCCTGTGTTACCTTGTCCACCTTGTTGACCTGGAAAACCAGGTTCGCCAGGTTGTCCCGAAACTCCTTGAATGCCTGGAAATCCTGGCTGACCATTCTGTCCGTTTTGACCTCTCGGACCAGTAGGACCAGTGGGTCCAGGCGAGCCAGGTTGGCCATTTGTTCCTGGACCACCTGGCAGTCCTGGAAGACCGGGTAAACCTGGAGGACCAGCTGGTCCTACAAACCCTGGCGTTCCTGGTTGACCTGGCGTTCCTGGAGTTCCAGGGCTTCCAGACGGTCCCGGTTGACCGTTTGGTCCTTTTGTAAGTTTATTATCAAAGATGAAATATTTAATTATAAGAGTCTGTTTCTTAAAAACATGCACATACCAGAAGGGCCAGGCTGACCAGGATTTCCTGTAAATCCCAAAATACCAGGTGATCCTTGAGGACCTGGGTAACCAGGATTGCCTGGATAACCTTGTGCTCCATCGTTTCCTCTAATACCTGTAGCTCCCGTCCCCCCTGTATCGCCAGGCCTGCCAATCTCAGCTGTTTAGTTTAGTTATAATAGAAAAAATGTATGTAGTTGTAGTACAATATTGAGTTCGCCCTATTAATTTATTACTCAATGGGCATTTTGCAGTGCCAAAGTGAAAGAAATTAATGAGAATTTTACAAACCGACTGTTGGACAAAAAGTAGAGGAAAGACTCGAAAGTGATGTCCATGCGTTACCAATATTTTGATAAGGAATGTATTGTACCGAGGATGGCGACGATGCAATTTGTCTCAACGACGGCAGAGGAACGTCTGGTGAAATAGCGATGGGCAAGATTCGAATGTTTCGGTACTTGAGAACATTCGCTTGAATGACAGTTGCCGATTCATCGTCCATTCTGCTGTTGATGAAAACAATGAGCACCATTGTTGTGCTGAAGGGCTGGGACACATTTCTCGAGTTGCTTGCAAAATCGTCCATGGCAGCCTAAAATGCATACAAGAGTATTGAATAATCGACCTATCAGAAGAGAAAATTAAAAATTTTCCATAAAAATTAAAGAAGATAACAAACTCTGAGTCCATCCTTCAAATTTGAAATTTGCTGATCGGTGGCTTGGTAACTTTGGGCCTGGATAGCATTTTGTACGACGCTGGTGGAAGTGCCGCTGCCGACGCTTAGCGTAACAAAACCGACCGAGTTGTAGAAACCGACACCGACGTGCGTACCGCTCGGAGAGACTCGGTACAGGCGATCGATCGTGCTGACTATGTTGGACAGACCGTTCTTTGTCAACGTCCAATCATTCTCGGACAAGTAGAGTTTTGTGTCCACCAATAAAATCACATCCAAGTTTCCACCGCAAGCTGAGAGTGATATAATTATAACGACAAAGACATTAATAGCAACAACTTTAATCATTAGTGGTAGTAGTAAAACAATAACGAATCCGTCGCGGCGGTAATTTGATGTGTGCACTACATGTACGCATTGATTTCTCAGCGAGGTAACTCCGTAAAAGAATTTTTTAATATATGATAATGATGCGAAAAGCGATTTGAAACTATAGAAACAAATTTGAAAAATGAAAAACAAGAAAACAATTCGAGCCTTATTATTAATTCACACGTTCACATTACCACATCTCTCTTTCTAACGCACACGCACACACACTCACGCACGCGCACATTCCACGTACGTGTCTGAGTCTGTTGAGCGAAGTTTGTAGGTCCGTTAAATGAAAAAAGAAGCAGCAAAGCGACGACAGTCTGCCTGATGAACATGCTGTCAACCTCTGATTTGAAACGTACCATTATACGTTACAATTTCTTTACGTTTATCTGCGTCTTAAAATTTTAAATGATAATAAAATGGAAATAATATTAAATAATAAAATAATAATAACGTGCCAAATTTGTGCAAACTTACGTACTGTGAGAAGAGCATAACAAATTAATATCTCTAGAGTGAAGAATTCCTCCTCTGTTGGTGTTTCCTACGAGATTTTCAACAAAAAATTTATTCATCGTAAATTTATTCAAAAATACACCTTCCTATCTTTACATTATTACAAGTTGCGGCGATACAAAGAGTAACACAAATAGGTAAAATTTTGCACTGTTATAAGTAGTAAGGTCCCTGAAGTTGTAACGTAAAAAAGTAAAGAAGCAGTATTTCTACTACTTTTGAATACCTTTTTCCCTGTAGAAAACTTCCCAAATGAACGAAAGTCGGCCGACCGGAAATGATCAGCCTACCGGATTTCTTGACGACCGATGTAGGAAAAAAAGTTTGAATTATCTTCTCTTCTCAGTTTGATTATCACTGTGCTTGAGATTTTAAAATTATTATTATTAATAATATTATATTGAAAAAATAAATTATTTCATTGTAAATATTATTAATGATTTTTAATACATCACGCAATGTATATATTAACTCCATATCTAAAAGTAGGGGGTAGCAAAAAATGGGTAGTTTGAGACAGCCGCCGACCCAACAAGAGATATTTCTGTACAATTTGTCACTATTTAGATGCAATACCATTCGTTTTAATACAGAAAAAGTACAGGATAACACTCGCCAATATGGTTTTTTATTTTACTGCTAGTCCGTTTCGCATTCAGTTAAGAATTTAGGATCATTGATTGGTTAACGGAGACGAAACTTTTGAAACGCCAAGATACACCGTAACTTTTAAAAGTTATAATCAAAAAATTAACTGATAACGATAAAGAAAATTATAATAATAATAATAATGATGATGAATAATTAAAATTTAACAAATTAAAATTTAAAAATATTTATGTTCCACCTCCTGTCTCTACCTTTGCCGATCGCCAATTGACGCTGCCTCGAGCTACAGAAAATATGCAAAAATATTTTTATTCATTCATTTGTTTGTTCAGTCGATCATCTATTCATTCAGTCAGTCAGTAAATCCTTTATTCATTCGCTCAGTCGTGCCATCATTCATTCATTCTCTCGACGTCACTCATTTGCGACCCAACTCTTTAAATAATAATAATTCATTTCTTCATTCTTTCCTACGGCAAATACTCGTGTAGTATTTGTTTTATTCGTTCGTTCATTCATTCATTCATTCACTCACTCACTCAACCAATCGTTCATTCAAGCTCAATCAATCTATTGAAATGTCGTTGTCTGTGTGTTGTATATAGATATATACAAACACACACACACACACACACACACACACACACACACACACACACACACACACACATATATATATATATATATATATATATATATATATATATATATATAAGTATTCATCTTAGCAAATCACTCATTCGTAGCCTTTCTTTTATCTCTCTCTCTCTCTCGCTCTCTCTCTCTATCTATCTCTTTTTCAATGATTCGGCCAAGTAAGTTTCTAAGTTAAGCCATAAATTAAAAAAGACAGAATCTTAAAAAGGATGATTACGATTAATCATAATTATCATCGATCTTCACTTTCATCATCGTGTCATTAGCATCTTCGTTTTCATCATCATCGTCACCACCATCATCACCACCATCATAATCATCATCATTATCATCAACTTCGCCACGTCCGGCATTTATATAAGACATGGCGCTCTGAACAGCAGCAGCAGTAGTAGTAGTATTAGCAGCAGCAGTAGTTGTAGTAGTAGTAATAGTAGCAGTGCAGTTACGCATTTCAATGTGGTTTGGCAGGCTCAACACAACCTAAATAGGACAGGCATTAAGAATTCCAAAGCATATAAATATATACAAAAGAATGCATGCAAGAAATAAATATATATAACACATTTGTCTACACAACATTTGTAATGATGTATAACACAAGATACAAACATTGATATTATTGACATACATTGAAATATATTGATATATATATATATATATATATATAATTATACACTCACACAGACATATATTATATGTGTCTGTGTTGCATCTATTTAGAAAAATTTTTCAAGCAATTCAACAACACTTAACAAAACCTGTCCTGTGGGTTTCTAAATATAACTCACATATATACATTCATACATATACATATATACTCATACATATATATATATATATATCAAAGTCTGAGTTAGTTCAAGTTAAGTCAGCAGAAGAGTGAAAGAAAGAAGAAAGAAGTTTAGTGTTTTAGCCTGAACTAACTAACCAACTAAACAAAACTAAATAATAAGCAGTAAGCAGTGAAGAATGAAATGAATTTAAGATTATCATTGCTCCTATTTTCCTATCTTTCTATTCTATTCACTCACTATTGCATTTAATGGTTTCATTGTTACCTGTGCTAGTTGATTTGTTAGGCAAGTTGCATTGGAGTATAAGTATGAAATATATATGCTTATATGTATATATATATATATATATAGTGGATTAAAGACTGTCATATTATATATATATATTATATACGTAAACATATATGTAAGTAACTTGTAACAATAAAAATTAAAAAAAATCAAAGCATGTTTATAAATTTCAAGTCCAGAATAAAAGTTAAAATTATGAAATGTTTTAAGAAGATACAATTAATTAATTAGATATCCAATTTAAGATTTATAATTTAAATACGCAAATCTCAAATATGCCTGAAAAATTTTAATCGGCCATTTTGTTGAAATTTCATGCAAGCACGTTTTCAGTTTTTAAATTTATTTAAAATTTAAAAGTCTCAAAAATATTAAAATAGACATAAAAGTTAAAAAAAAACGAAAAATAATCGTTAAAAACCATCCTGAAACTGTAAAATTCTTCATCATTAATATTTCTTAACGTTCGCTAACAAAACACTTCATTCTATCGCAGATTTTCTCCGCGAATTTTCACATTTTCAACCGGAAACGGCTGATATGGCGACTAGAATTCAAATTGTGACACCTGTTGATTGGATTAAAAGTTACCTGAGACATTTAAAAGTTAAACTTACTTATGAAAATGCATAGCATAATTGAGTAAAATTTTAAAGTTTTTAAAACAAAATACTGATCAAAATTAATTAAATAAATAAAATTAAATAAAAATATCTAATAAATTATCTTAAAAGCATAAGCTAACGAGTGTAACCAACCTATTGTTATCTTAGTTTCATTTATGTAATTAGCTTTACCTTGAGAATAGTCTTTGGGTTTTTCCATTTTTTGGACACTCATTTTTATACAAAAACATCATTAAACTTGTGAATCCCGAATTGGCAATAAACTGTTTTTTAAAATTTAAGAAAATAATTTAAATTTAAACGACATTCGAAAAAAAGCGAACGAGCCTCAACTCTAAAAAAACTTGTTCTGATCCGTTACTTACGGGTACTGTGCGATTTCATTTCACCTATGTAGTCGGTTTTTAAACTTTAATTAATTAATTTAGTTAGCTTTAACTTTAATTTCAATATTTGTTTAGGAGCCAGTTAATCTTAAAAAATAAAATAAATTCAGAAAAGGGGTGAAAATGTCAAAATCAAAAAGAGATTCGACTGTGTTCAGCTTCGCAATCAATCCATCAATGGCCGCCATGCAGTTAGCCCTGACCAACTTAAAAGATAGGTGCAACGCTCTCGAAAGGGAGAACAAACTATTAAAACGTCAGCTGGCAGATAAAAAGACTCTAGATAATTTTGAATCATTTGTGTATAATAATAGCAACAATGTTAATGATATTGATAAGAAAAATACAAATAATAATCGCAAAAATATTGGCTACCTGAAAAATAAATCCATAATTAACTTCACAGCTCATGATTTATCAGACAATCCTAATCAAAAAACAACATTCACTAATAATAACAACAATAATCAACCTGTGGACCCCAATGTCCATTCGATAGTCACAAACATTTGCGAGCAGTTAAACATTATTGGCCTCCAAATGGAGAGCTTACTGTTAGATTACAACGAAATAAATAATAAAGATGAGCTACTGATGCTCAGTGATACAATGGAGGAACATGTTATACCTAGACTGTGTAAAATTAATTTAAAAAGACATGAATCTGACCATAACAATAATAATAATAATGTTAAAGATGTTGATGATGAACATGGGGATGAAATGAAGAGAGAGAATGATGAAGAAGAAGAGGAGGAGGATGAAGATACATTAAAAATACCAACGGTTGACATTAGAAAACTACACAGAACATTAAGACTTCAGAATCAACTGCTGAAAAACATCCAAACGTACATTGCCGTCTGCAATACCATAGGTGGCTTATTATATTTGTTTTTATTGATTATTATCTATTTATTATTTAATCAAATTCATGAATCTTTCATTGGAATTAAAATGTATTTACCCATTCACTTGCCTACTTTTCAACCAATCAGCTGCAGACAACAAATCATCGTCATCGTCTTCATCAACGTCGACAATGTTGCCAACATTTGAAGGGTGGACCGTGTTAAATAAATGAGTTATGCAAATTAGATGCATCTTGTTAATTAGATACTGTAATTATGTTAATATAATGTGCTAATTAAATGAATAAATGAGTACTGTTTATTCATGAATGGCTAGGCAGAGCTGTTTCATAAATGCAATTTCAAATGCATGCTTGTTAATATATGATTTCACTTTATTTCTTCTACTTTTACTGTATTAATGTTATTACTCTTTTCGTTGTTATGGTTCTTCTGTTCCTGTCATTTTAACATTTTTATTTATTTATCCAGCCGTAATTTTGTTTTGTCCATTTTTTAGTAGTCTTGCTTCCAAATTATTTCTGACTAGAATTAATGAATGAGTGAAGTAATACGAACAAAGTTATATTTTTTCTATTTTAGTTAACATTATTTAAAATTTTTCATGAGTTTTAATAAAAATAAATAAATTTGATTCTTTCTTATTCGTTCTTAAACTATTAAATGGCGCTCAGATTGAAAGTAGGTTGTGATTTTGACCGAATCATCGTCGTCGTGGCCGCCAACAATTTTGTATTTCTTCTTAAAATCATCTATAAATAATTAATAAATATCTATAAATAATAATAATAATAATGATAATAAATAATGATAAATTCTTGTTACGAATCATAAATATAGATAGAGAGATATCAGCATTATCATTGTAAACGCGGCACAACGGTCGCCATCCTTGCTGAAATCAATAGCATCATCACAATCATTCGTCATCATCCAAATCGTCATATCAATACTGACGCAATAATTTTCATAACCTACCTCTGCCACTCCAACTTTTCTCTCCCAAACCTTCACATCTTTCAGCATCTTACTGCTCTCCGCCTTAATCCTGATGTAATCTTCTACTGCAGGTGCCTTGTATTTCTGGCTTAATTCTTTCATTCGCTCATTCTCTCGTTCAAGAAGTGATTTATCCTGATAATGATGATAGTTTTCATTATGGTAACAGTTATTTTGATTGGAAAATACGCTATGATTAATAAATATTTTCCTGAAGGCATCATAAATCTGAAAAATGTCATTCATGTCAGTATGATCATAATCGTAACCATCGTCACCATCACCATCATGATCGCTATCAAACTTATCAAAATCATCATCACTACAACCTCATGAATATTAATGAGTTCTTTATTAAGCTTTTCCAATAAGTCTTTTCTTATTTTCAAATCCTCGTTAGTTCTTTCCATCTCTTGAATCATTCTATTGAGTTTCTCCTTTTTGCCCGCAAGATTCTGATTGCTCAGTAGGGATGAATAAATTGATGAGTCATTTGCATATTCATTGATCTAAATATCAGAGGACCCAATCAATTAAATAACTAAACAATCAGCAGATAGATCGAACCAGCAACCGGCAAACCTGATTAACTTTACTGTAGCTCAGCTTCATTTCAACCATCTCCTTGTTTTTGTCCTCAATAGATCCGACACACTTTCGGTTCTCGATTATCAACTCGTCAAAATCGACCGTCGATAGCGATTCGCCCATCTCCTCTTTCTACATCATTTGGATGATAAGGATAACATGAGAAATAGGAATATAAATGATTTTATAATTACTTCGCCACCTGCTTCAATATCATGTCCAGCTTTTTCTTCTTACTTTTCAAAGCGTTGTTATGCAGCCTGATTTTGACGGCTTTTGTCGTCTTTGAAAATATGAAAACAATTATAACCATTCATAATTAATAATTATAATATTTATAATGATGATAATTATTATTATTTAACCTTTTCTTCAAATCTTTCATCTAGATATTTAATCAGTCTTTGGATGGTTTTATCAACGTCTCGTTGCTGATGCGGTAGATGACGTTGCTGCTGCTGATATTGTTGCTCGCCAGTTTGTTCTTGAATCTGTTGTTGCTGTTGTTGTTTTACAGTAGTGGTTTCAATGGAAGCATTAAGAATCTTCTCGAACAATTCTTTCTCCTTTTCAAGTTCCTTCATTCTATCTCTCGATTCATCAATTGTTGCCTGACAATGTTGCAGATGATAATATTAATATTACAGATGATGATGTATAGACGGTAATGAGGTGACGATGTATCAGTGAGAAAGAACGAGATGATTTTTTGCTGATTTTATCAATGTGTGTGTGTGTGTTGATGACGACCCGACGACAATCACAAAATCAAACAATTTTCCATTATACACCAAAACCATCATCGCATAATCATAACATACCTTCATCTCGTCCATCTTCCTCTCACTCTCCACACTTTCTCTTTTCATTTCTCTCTCCAAATCATCACATTCTCTCGTCAGCAGTTCCATCATTTGCCTCGTAGTCAGCTTGAAGACTCTCTCAACCACACTAGAGCGAGATTTCGATCTCCGCCTGAACTGGGCATTTGACGATAAGCTACCAGCAGCAGTAGCTGTAACAGCTGCGGCAGCTATGACAGTTGGTCCGTAGCTTAAACTTTCGCTATCGCTAGCTATTCCGCTAAAATTAACTGAAACTCTTTGTTTAGCTGTGTTTAATAAGGTAGCTGTGTTGGTTGGGCTCTCGTTGATGATTGGAAGAGTTGTTGAAAGTGTAGTTGTTGCGGCGTTTTGTAGTTTTGTTGCGGAGTTGGAGCTGGCTGTGAAAGTAGCTGGGACGACTTTCTTCAGTTGGTTTTCTAGAAAGGTGTTCTCTATGGATAGGATCTTATTTTTGCTCCTGTCAGCAAATAGTTTCATGTTCGTAACAACAACCAACCAATCGACTAACCAACAATTACTAACTCAAGTTCTTCGAGAAGTTCTTCAATCTGTTGACATGACAACTCCGAAATACCATCATCATCGTAACCACCACCACTATTATCAACACTCAGCATGCTGTTACAACTACTATTACTACAACTGGTAACATTAACAAAGTCAAATGCAAGCAAAACTACTCAAACGCTAATCAATAACACACAATGTCTATATTCAATCTCAATACAATCGCTAATTTGCTGCCTAATAACAATACTAACAATGAACTTTCGCTACTTAAAAATGAAATACTACTATTTTTGTTGCTAAATGCTGCACTTACTAATAATACCAAAATACTTTTACAAGTGAATAGCATATATCTACTACTGATACACACGCAATGCCTGACTGCCTGCAATCTTAAAATACTTACAATCTACCTTGATAAAACATCAAACCTATGACAATACTATACAGCTACTGTATCATAATGATAAAATCATTTTACTACAATAAAGAATTACTGAATTAAAATCATTTTTAACCAAAGTCTTAAACAGGTAAGCCATATGATACGCAATTCAGGTGCGAACCAGCTGATGATCACCATGGCAACGTGTTCATAGATAAAGCAGTAATTTAAAATATACACACATCAATCTATCTTCGTTTAGCATCCAGAGACCCAGTTTGCTAATACAAAATATATACATAAATATATATAAATATATATATATAAATTACATAAATACATAATCCAATAAATGCCTATATAAATGGCCAAGAATAGACGACCTTTGCGAATCAAATTTATTGACATTTTAAAGAAACTTTGCTTGGACAGAGAGAGAAGCTAAGAGAAAGTTATATGAAATAAATATATGTGTACATATATATATCATATAAATAGTATATATATATACACAAATATATATATTTGTATGTATATATATATATATATATGTATTTTTTTACAATATTCTATAAATTCTACCGAATGTTTTGCGTTAATATGTTTGTAGCTCTATTACCAACATATTTGATCTGATATTTATATATATATATATATACATATATCTATATATACATACAAATTCATGAGTACAAGCATACATACATTTATACTGTCTTAATGTCTCTTTAATATAATACTAGTAAAACACACACACACACACACACACACACATAGTCACGCACACACACATGTATATATATATACATATATAATGTATTAATTGTTCTGTAAATACATTAACACTCTTATAAAATTAAACACACAATTATTTTATTATTTGCAATGTATGATCAAAGTTTTTTTTCATATACTAAGTGAAAGTACAATTCCCATAAATAATAGTAGAATAAGCATGACATAATTAGTAACTTGAATAAAATGATAATGATAAAAATAAAGAAAAAAGAAGAAACACAACAGCATTCAAAGATTGCATAATAAAAAAAAAACCAAAAATAAAAACAAAGACAATGATGAATGATCTTGAATCTTAAATAGCCAACGCCCCTTTGATAATCTTCTTCATTACACTACCAACAGCCGATGGCGAGGATGACGATGAAGATGAGGGAGAAGTAGATAGTTGTTGTTGTTGTAGTTGTTGATGATGTTGTTGCTGATGGCGATGTTGTTGCTGTGGAGAGTTTTGTAACTTCATTGGGCTGCTGTTGCTGTTGTTATTCCCACTACTACTGTTATTTACACTACTGCTGCCACTTACCGTTGGATTTTTTACTATGGGAGAGTTCATGCTAGAAGTGAAAATCTGGATGTCGCGGTGAGAGAAAATAATTTCCATCATAAAATAGTATTAAAGTACACTTTTTTCATTCATTCATCCATTCAAACAGCTAGCTGACCAATCAAATTCTTCATAAAATTCTTTAAAAAAATTAAAAAAAAAAATTTTATTGAACAAAAATAAAACTAACCTTGTTTCTCTTCATTCTAATAACTAACCCTGAACAAATATGGTTGAATGTTAGGGAAGGAAAGGTCGAATACGAGCTCAAGGTCAGGTTCATTAGGTACCTTGGGGATGTACTCAAACTTGCTCATCGTTTCTGCGATGTAGAAAACTTTTTCTGTTAGAAGCTCTCCAACCTTTTCTCGAATTTGTTGTCGATCTAATAAAATTTGTAAAATGAATAAGTTTGATAAGAAAGAAAATCAACCAGCCAGCCAGCCAATCAACAAACCAGCCAACTAACCATTTTCATTATTAAGCTTAACGACTTCTAAAACAATGGTCCACACCTCCCATGGAACATCATCCTTCTTGAAGAGGTGACTTTTTCGTTTTTGATAGAATTCCAAAGATATAGCACCACCCGTGCCACTGAACCTTCGACGAAGATCATCCTGAAATCCACTCACTTCTTTCTTCAGCATGTTGTCCAATTCATCCGAGGCCACCCTGACCTACATGTTATTGTTAGTTAGGTGGTTAATTAGTTAGGCAGGCAATGTGTTTATTTATAGCTAAATTCACTTTTAAAAGATAAAAAATAATTACGTAGGTAAAGTCTATGTAGTCACAGTCGACATCAACCATGCCCAGAGTTCCTATTGAGTAACTACCTTCTTGCTTGTAATGAAACTGCAAGAAATTAAATCACAATGATTAACAATTTTTTTAAAAACAAAATGAAGAAATAAAGTAAGGCAGCAAAAATAATGATAAAAAAGGATTTTAATTTATTTAAAGTTTTTTAAAATGAGAAAAAAATGTCAGAAATAATTATTTCAAACCTTCCCAAGTGTCCTATGGAACATCAAACTATGGAAGATACCTATTATCAACATACACATGAATATATTATGCATATATATAATGGAATAATAGGAATATTTTAAAAAAAGTCCACAGTAAAATGTTGTACTTCAACTTTGGCTCTTTAAAACTACATACAATACGGTCATATAGACATTCCATTAATGTTATGAATTTTATTATGTTAAATCTAGTTAGTGACGGTTTTTAAAATTGTATTTTATATTAGAAAATATTACTAACTTAATACAGTTTCTGAAATTTGTCTTTCATCAACTGTCTGCAAACAATTATATTTAAGATTAAATTTTAAGTTGATTTTTTTTACGATATAATTGATTATTAATAATAATAATTAAAATAATACAATAAAAAAAACTAATTTATCATCAAAAAATCAAATCAGGCATTTTTAAAAAATTAATTTTTTAATTAACAATACTCTTGAACATTAATATCAACTAAATTCACTGTTTGAAATATCAACTTTACACAGGAAATAACTTATATTATCACACAACGACCAAACCCGATTGATTAGTGAAATTAGTGAAACAAAAAATGGCATACAACCAATAATAAATAATTGATCATCAATTAAATGTTAAAATGTTTATAAAAAACAACGAAAAAACCTTACCAATTCGAGCACATGAGCTCTCGCGTTCATTTTGAATAAAATTTCGTCTCGAAAATCAAAAACTTAATTTTAAAGAACGAACAAATTGAACAAAATTTTGCGAACAAATAACAAACTCAAGTATCAACAGCTTAAATTCACTTTTCAGATGAACTTATCGTCCATACATAGATAAAATATTAAAAATTAATTCTAAAAAACCAGTCCCGATCAGTTTAATTTCACCCCCGAAATCATTTAAAAACGTTTTCCAAGTTGAAATTTTGAAATTTGTATCCAATTATAATACAAAATGAAGAATTCAATTATTTTACCATTAAATTTTTAATGTCAAATGACAAAACTCATGATTTGAACAACTAACGACAGTACTAAGTAAATCCTTTAATTTCATTAATAAAGCAACATATCATTCATAATACTATATTTACATATATATACATATATATATATATGTATATATATATATATGCAATCACTGTTGAAAGGTATATATATATATATATATATATATATATATATATATTATATATATATATGTTTATATAAACACAGCAGAAGTAGTCATAACATTTTTAAAAAATTATATTAGTATAAAAATAAAAAATAAGTGAATAAAAAGTAAATGTCTAACTCCTTAAAAAAATAAATATATATATGTATATATAAGTATATATATATATAAGTATATATATATATATATATATAAATTTATATATATACTATATATGTGTGGAGATGAAAATATAACAAAGAAGAAATAAAATGTAAGATTTAAAAGCTGAAAACTGAAAATAATAGAAACCAAGCTAAGATTTAATTAATTAACTAATTAATTAATTAATAAACTGTATTTTCGAAAATGAAAAATTAAATAAGCTATTTATAACTTCATTACTATTGGTTGGCTGTTTGGTTGGCTGGTCGGTCGGTTGGTTGATTGGTTAGCTAGCTAGTTAGTTAGTTAGTAAATGAAACAAGTATAATAATTGAAATTGGAAATAACAATACATACATAAACATATATAATATACGTATATATATATATTTATAAATATATATATTATATAAAAAATTATATATATATATATATATATATATATATATATATAAAATCATATATAGTATATAAAAAATGACTAACAAACTAAATAAAATAATTTCAATGGAAAAACTCAAATTTTTGCAAACATATATATATAATTATATATATTGCTAGATCTAGCATGATATAATATATATGATATTATATATATTATAATATATATCGCTGGAAGGAGACCGACTATAAATGATGCAATAATTGATGAAATCTTCACCATTGAACACTAACGATCATTTTCTCGTTAATTTTTAATAAATTGAATAATAATTATAAAATAATTACTGTTAGAAATAGTGAAAAGCTCAATCGTAAACATCCAGAAGCCAAAAAATCGGGAGATTTTATCAGATATTGTATGTATATATATATATATATATATATATATATATATATATATATATATATATATACCGAATTATGGTATTATTATTATTTAAGATAAAAATCTTAAAAATTATTAATAATATATACATAATTATGTACGTAATCTCATCCAGACGCCATTATGCTAATTATTTTCGCTTATTTTTGGCCTAAAGTTAATAAGAGGTAGAGAAAATGAACATTAAAGCATCAAGAATAATGGTTATAACTAATAATAATAATAATAATAATAATAATAATAATAAATTCTTCCTTTCATTATTATTATTTATTATTACAAAACGACAACTGGGGAAAAAACCAAAAAAAGAATTTAAGTTAAAGAAATAAATACACTTTTACATTATTACATGCATGTCAGATTCATTTGATAACTGCTTTACAATATGTAACTATGTGTGTGTGTATGTGTGTGTGTATATATGTTTGTATGAGTGTGTGCGTGTGTGTGTGTTTGTTTGTATGAGTGAGTGTATGATTATAGCTTATTAATCATATTATTATTATCATCGTCGTCGCCATCATGTTCATCGTTAATGTTATCAGAGATGTTAACTATGGGCAGCATGAGGTCATCATCCATGCTGCCATCAATCATTCCCTGCATTCTTTTATTCAGGATTTCAAGTCGTTCGTTCAGTCTATCACGCATTGAAAATTCGTCATCTTTTAGTGCTGATGAAAACTGAATGAATGAATGGATGGATGAATGAATGGATGGATGGATGAATGAATGAATGAATGAATGGATGAATGAATGAATGAATGGATGGATGAATGAATGAATGAATAAATGAATGAATGAATGACGAAAGGGTTGATGAAAAAAATGAATGAACGGATTGATGGACTGGTGAATAAATGGATGAATAAAACTAAAAGCAAACGTAAAAAGGCTTCAACGAAAGTTTAAAAATGAACTTACGTCTTTATAATACTTGAATATGTACTGGCATATCATCTTCAGTGCCTCCTCTGTGTTGAACTCATTTGCATGAATCTACGTAAATAATTGGACACATGTGAATGAATAAATGAATAAATTAATGAATGAATCAAAGAAATAATGAATTAATGAATGAATCAAAGAAATAATGAATTAATGAACGAACGAATAAACACATGAATGAATAAAGGTGTAAATGGAAGAAGGAATGAAATAAATAAAATACCAGAGACTCCTGATGGAGCATTTCATTCATGTCTTGCTCACTCAGAGCTGGCATCGACTTGATCTCATCATAGTATCTTTAATAATAATAATAATAAAAAATGATGATAATAATAATAATAAATAATTATAATAATAATAAAAACAAATCCTTAACCCCGACCTGACGACCCACTCCTTATATTTGGGGATTTCCTTGGCATAGAGGAGCTTACTGGACGGACTGTCCTTGGTAAGTTTGTGGTCGCCCATGCAGCAGCTGTCCATGAAGGTCTGGCTGATGACGGACAAGCAGGAGTCCACGGTGTTCGACTTGTGGATGTCGAAGATGAAGTTCGGGTTCTTGACTACGTTCACCCAAAATCTTAATGGCAGGCTGTGTGTTAGAATGATCGTTACGTACGTTCGTACGTACTTCAGTGATCATGAATGGAAAAACAAAGACATAATAATAATAATTAATAATAATAATAATTAATAATAATAATAATTAATAATAATAATAAGAAGAATAACAAACCTGTTGGACTTCCATGTATGAACAACCTCATGGTCGACGACGTTATGCAGAGCAGCTTGGTCATCAAAAAAATCAAACATAAATTTAATCGCCAGAGGCAAGCAGCTGTACTGCTGCTGCTGTAGTTGCTGCATCTGGTTGCTGTGACGGTTGCTGACGCTGCTGTTGCTGAGTAACGGGACTCCGCTAGCGTGGGCGGGGTTTGGATTTGAGTGACGTGACGATGGTACGTAATCACAACGGAAGATCGTCTCGAACAAGTCGTTCACGAAAATTTGAAGTGTGCCCTGTTTCGTTAAGTGATTGATTATTTATTCATCCATTTATTCATCCATTCATTCATCCATTCATTCACTCATTCACTAAACTAACTTTGCAGGTAAGCAATCTGGTAAGAAATATCTCGGACACCATCTTATCATTCCTCTCATCTCTTCTGCTATCATGCTCACTGTTGCTTTTTACCTATACGTCGTAAAGTTTCATTTCAAAGAATAAACGAACGAACGAACGAACGAGGGAATGAATGAATGAATGAATGAACGAACGAACGAACGAATAAATTAATGATGAAATAATAAAATCCCAAACCAACCAAATGGTAAACTTTGACGCTTTTTTGTGTTGCTAGAGTAACATTATGCGACAGAGAATAACTGCTCGGTAGACTTCCGGAGAAAAATGTTTCTGAAAAAGAATCATTTTAATATTGCATCCATCGCAATGGGTACTGCATGAATCTAGTAACAAACGACTGGCTTCATTCACAGTATTAGCGCCCCGTTCCAAAAATCGAACTATAGCCCGTGTACTAAAAATGATAAATATTCCTATCTAAAAACTGAGTTTACCGACTGTTAATAACAACGACCTCCCTAGATCCACCACTGACTGCCACATCACATTATTACTGCTACTACTACTACTACTACTTTTAATAATAATAATAATACTAATAATAAAAAGAAAAATGATAATAACCCATCTTCTGTTGATTATTATTGCTATAGTAGTTTTGCCTATGAACGAGCTTAACAATTGAGCCGTCTTTAACTTTATAATGGCTCAGTGTATTTAACTTCTTGAACTCCCCTGAGAACAAAGTGGTACTGTCCTCGTCCTGCATAATGATCGGCTGGCCGCTGGACGGATCGATCCATTCTGTATTAAGGGTGAATAAATAATAAATATAAACAACAGCATCATTAATGAATGAGTAAACTATCAACTCAATCGTAATAACAGCAATAAAACTACTATAACAATACAGCAAATACTACTGCTACTACTTTTGCTACTACTACTACCACTACCACTACTACTACTACTACTACTACTACTACTACTACTACTACTACTACTACTACTACTACCTACAATAACAACAAGAGTAGTATGATCCTCACCTAAATCAAAGTCATCTTTGCAGGGCCGAGCGGAAAAACCCAGACGCACATAAATAACATCGAGAATTTTCTCCTTAACTTGTGTTATCGTGTCACAATCCAGCACCTTCACTTGGTGTTGTTGTTGTTGATGTTGTTGTTGGAGTTGTGGTGAGTCGTAATCAGGGATGTACAGAGTCTGGCAAAAATAATGACGATGACGATAAGAACTATGAATAGTTAAACTTAAACGAGAAACGCTGATGAAAAATATTATGAATTAATCATAAAAAACATCTAAAGAACTAACAACCCCAACAAACACACAAACGAACGAACGAGCAAACAAATAAATGAACGAACGAACGAACAAACAAACAAAAAACAAACCATAGCTTTATATTCAACATGCTGTCTAATCAGCTTTTCCTCACTAAGAGAATATTTAGCTTCACTGGTCACCTGATCGATTGGACCCCTTTCTGTCTGGTGTTTAACTGCCTGGAACAGCATGAACAACTTTTCTCCCGCTTGCTCCTGGTGTGTTTGAGGGTAGTTAGGATTAGTATAAAATTCATTTATTTGCGACGGACTGACGGATGAATTAGCCAATTGTATTCATTCGTTCATTCACTTATAATCGACCAATGTAATGAAGTTGATTTTACTCATTAATCTACGATGCATAAACGGATGAAGTGGTTAGTTTCATTCATTCTCTCTCTCTCTCTCTCTCTCTCTCTCTCTCTCTCTCTCTCGCTCTCAAACTTTCACCAAAAAACCACAAAGCAACGAAAAAATGTAACCTTAAGAAACTTGTGGAGTAGGAAAGTGAACCAGTTAGTAAGCATCTTCTCTGCCACAGATTCAGTTCTTCTGAGAAGCAGCTTTGGGTGACTCCTCTTCTCGGTCGATCTCTCTATCAACTCGGAGAGTAGAGTCTTTAAGATGCTGATGAATTTGTGAGAGGAGAATGTTGTTGTTGGTGTTGTTGTAAGATGTTGTTGTTGTTGTTAAAAGATTACTTACACCGTTGTTTGTTTCGTAATTATTATGAAGTTCGTGTACACAAAACGACGGTACAAATCCTTACAGATTCATGTACATCCTCATCACCATCAACATCATCATCATCATCATCACCACCACCATCGAGCACATCATCATCATCATCATCATCATCATCATCAGGACTCACTCAGTATGGTAGACCATATGAGACTGCAGTACAACGGACAGTAGCGAGGCAAACTTCACCTTCTCTCTCACATTGAAATCCGGCCTCTGCTCCAAGGTCCTAACCAACGTCAACAAAAATGACCTATTTAAAAGTAGGTCACCCACCTCCGCTAACATCCTTCGAGTCAGGCGTGACGTAATCAGTTCCTCTTGCTGCTGCTGTTCGAACAGCTGCTGTTGCTGCTGAAGCAGTAGCTGCTGCTGTTGTTGCTGCTGTTGCCGCTTTTTACCGCCGCTAGTTTTAGTCGCCGATGACGAGACGATAGCGGCGTCCAAATCAGTTTGCGAGTTTTTCAGCAGTAGAGAAGAGTTGTTGTTGTTGTTGTTGGGCGTGTTGTTGCTGTTCGGATAGTTGGTGCGACTAAACACCCCCCTGGCAGAATTGTTCGGTGTGAAGGACAGCAAGCAGACTTCAGATTCGACCGCTGATGAGCCCGCATCTCTCGGAGAACCCGTGCAATAGCACGACTCTAACGTACGTTGATGCAAACGATGCTGCTGCTGCTGCTGTGAGTAGGTGAGGGGGTTGCCAGTGTTCGTACCCCACCTCAAGACGGGATGGTCCAGGTGGTGCCCTGGGAAGAGAACGTGGGCGCAGAAACTTCTATAGTCCCTGTTATTAAATATGCTTGCAGTAGTAAAAGTAGCTATATTAAAAAGTATATTATAAATGATTAGTTAAGATGTTGAACAATGGTATGCGAGTACTAGAATTAGTCAGTGGCAGTAGTTTTGAAAATATCAGGCCACGCTAACCGGAATGGAATGTGATTGGAGGCAGAATCGCCGAGATCATACTTCACGTTTGTCATGTTGGTTTGTAGCTCCGCAAAGGCTGTTGAGTTTAAATTCAATCAATCAATCAACTATACAATTAGCCAACCAACCAACCAACCCTTCAATCAATCAGCCGAGACCAACCTTCCTTGCACTCCTTTGCAACACTACTTTCCAATCCATCAATCTGTTTCTGCAATCTCTTCACGGCACGCTGATTTTTCTTCGATTTGATTCGGTAGGCCAGACAAATCAGGATGATGACGACAGCCAATAAGAAGACCGCCCCGATGGCTCCTCCTAAAAAGGGCGGAGACTTCAGCATTGCTACAACTCCGCCCTCTGGAACTAACTTTCCCAGAGTTTGGACGCTGTTGTTGCCTATGTGAACCTGGGTGATTGTTTATTACGTTGAATATAATTAATCAACCGATCGATCAACCAACCAGCCAGCCAGCCAACCAACCTTAACAAAAGCAGGTTCCGACAGAAACAAAGTTTGCCTGAACAAGCAGGTCAAATGACTGCTCGATACTGATTGGACGACGCAGTGCTCCTTGCCAACTGTCACCAAATAATCAGATGGTGTCAAGGCCAGATTTAAATATCGACCCTGGAAAGTTGTGGTGGTGATGATGACGGTGATGATGACGTTTGCTTCTGATGCCAACCAATCATCTACTAAAAATATAAACCCACCAATCAAAAAACAGACCAACCAATTACAAAACAGAACAACCAATCAAACAACCAATCACAAAACAGACCAACCAATCAACCAGCCAATCACAAGAAGCATTACATTAAGCGCCAAATGTTCCAGCTTATTAGAGTGACTCTTCCTGACGCCATCTTCAAATTGTTCGAACCTCGGATTCGGATAGACAAACAGAACCCCACTGGATAAGTTAAGAAGGTTCTTCACTCCATCCATCACAAATCCGTAATGAAGACGGATCGGAAGTAGCGATAATGATGACGGCGATGATGATGACCAGGGTGATGATGATGATGGTAGATATTTATTATTATTATTTTTATTATTATTATTATTACCATCATCGTTACTATTATTATTATTATTATTATTATTATTAATATCATCGTCGTCATCTTCATCTTCCTCTTCATCGTTATAATCCTCATAGCCATTATTATAAATATTATTATTATTATTATTATTATTATTACTCCTTTTAAACCTCTTATTGTTAGCAGTAGCTGCAGCGTTAGTACTAGCCTTATTAACTTTTAAATAGTTCCTCTGCTTCTTGTTCATACTACCAACGCCACCAATACCATCACTAACATTATTATTATTATTATTGTTATTATTATTGTTGTTGTTATTATTATTATTATTATCCTGTGGCAGAGTGACGTTAGGAGTCAAGCAATCCATTCTTAGATCCGATATGACGAGACATGGCTGTTGTGGTGAAGATGATGATTGTGATGATGATGATTAAAAAGATGATAATGATGATTGTGATGATGATGATCGTGATGGTATTTGCGATGATGGTGATGATGAAGATGGCGACGACGATGATGATGATGATGGCCGGAATAGTCAGTCAAATAAAGTGAAAAAAAATTTAAAGGAATAAAAATGCTCCTAAGACTACACCATTCTATCTACATCATCATCATCATCATCGTCATCATCATTATCATAGCAGACCGATGTGAAATTTTCATTATCTCTGTAGACAATCATCATTGGCTTGGCTGTGATATCCAACCTGTAGCCCCTCACCACCAAAATGTTGCCACCGCTGAAAAATTTTTAAAAATTAAATAAATAATTAATTTAATTATTAAATTATTATTATAGATTTTATTATTATAGGTTGTAATATTTTAATGATATTAAATTTATTATATAAAAAATAACCAATCAAATTTCTTGCCTTAAAATGCCTGTTTGTCGCTCGACCAATAATATTACAGGATCCAATTTAAATTCAAACAAGTCATCCTCACTGGCTCGCTGTAAGCTGAATTTCGATTGGTCGATAACTAGGTCGAGACTGTTGACAATGTAGGTCGAATCAGCAGTTCCCGTTAAGCAGGTCAAGTAGTTGTTTGATTGAAACTGCACAACGCATGCGGTCGATAATGAGGATGATGATGACGACGACGATGACGATGACAAAATGACGGAAACATTAGACCCGGAGTCTAAGTTCTCCCCATATATGGTGATCAAAGTGCCGCCAGACTGAGGACCCAAGTGTGGAGTCATGTGACTCACTCTGCTGTCCTGAATCATGATTGGTCGGTGAATTTCAAACCTCAACATTTTGTAGTTTCGTAATCAACTAATCACTCATTCATTCATTCATCCATTCGTTCGTTCGTTCAATCGTTCTTCTAACCTGGTAAGTAAAGTTGGAATCTGAAACGAAACTGATCAATGAACTGATGGACACAACGAGAGATGAGGTCAAAGGTCGTTCAGATTTTGAGGTCACACATTTAAATCTATCGAATGAATGGATGAATGAATGAACAAACGAATGAATGAATGAATAAATGAATAAATAAATAAAAAAAAAACAAACAAATCAAACAGAGAGACAAGAAAGAGTACAACTAACGATAAACTCGGTTCATAGTGAAGAACGTGACATGGCAGGCCAGCGATGAGAACATTAGTATCATCTGCACTCAATCCTAAATCTTCTCCTAACACTGTCAGCATTGTTCCACCGTTCAAAGGACCTTTTTTCGGAGAGATCTGGAGAAAGAGAGAGAAAGAGAGAGAGAGAGAGAGAGAGAGATTGAGATAAAAAGAGTAAGAATGAATGAAAAATCGATAAATTTAAATACTTGAGCGATGAACCACCCAACAACGCAACGTAACACAACTTACTGAAGTAATCCTAGAATCCGGACAAACTTCCTTCCTGCTTTTCCACTTTTCTTTACCTGGTAATCCTGCAGAAACGCACTCCTCCCTAATTTTACAGGACCCAGCAACTTTGCGGCTGCTGGGGATGCACCAGCCACATTTCAATCTCGGATCGAGAGCTCTGCATCGACCGCAGTTCGGTGCCAACTCGTGGCATTTGTAGATTTTAACTGGTTGGTTGGTTGAGTGAGTGAGTAAGTAAATGACTGATTGGTTGGTTGGTTGGTTGAATAATTAGTTGATTGATTGGTTGAGTGACTGACTGGTTGGTTTGTTAGTTAATAGTTGAATGAGCGAATATTGATTAAAGACCAGAAAATTAAAAAAATTCGATCAACCTTGAATATTTTTCGGATTATCTAGAAACTTCTGAACTGGACCCTCACCCCACATAACTCTCAGGGGCACATTGAGAAAAGGGGTAGAACTGTAATATTCGAATCTCATTGGTTGACATCTGATGACGTCATTTGAGCCCATCACGTGATCGGCCTTGACTTCGTGGCCCCCGTCGAAGTTAAATATGCAGCGGAGAGGAGCTTGATAGACCTTTTCATTTCATTTTAGTGATTGCTATTATAACTACTGTTATTCACAGTAGAAAACCCAAAAATTCTCACTAACAGTTTTATTGATGACCTTCAAAATGACCTCGACCTCCGACCCTGATGATATAAATATCTCAGAGGAATTGTCGTGCGCGTTGTCGATGCGCGGGCAGTGGGAAGGACCGGGAGTGTCGGAATTCCCCAGAAGCTATTTATAAACATTTGGGATTGTAATTAGTATAACTTATTTGCTAAGTTTATGTGGAATGTTATTATTTCAAGAGAGCAAAATTATCGCCATAAATATTATTGCTATTTTATCGCCCCATTTAATTAACCTAATTTATTGCAACATCAACATCATCATCGCAACTTACATTAATCCCGGTGATGAGTGTATCGTTCTTGCACTCGTCCTTAGTGCTCGTGCACTTATTGACCTGAACACACCAAGTGCACGGGTACATGCTGTTGGTGCATCGAGTGCAGCTGCCAAATTAGGGTGGTAGGGCGAAGTTGATCTCATCATAATCATAATTGTGTATCGTCATCATCACCCTCATCGTCATCATCACCATCACCGCCAGTATCACTATCATAACTAACGTAGTGTGGACGCTGCAGTCGTAGAACGTGAAATCTGTCGTCAGATGCTGGAAGCCGTCAGACGTGATGGACAGTGATATCGTTATGTGGTCTGCCAGGATTATTATATCGGTGGTGATCATGATGGTAGTGATTGTGATGATGGTGATGATGAGGATTGTAATGGAATAAAAAAATGGCGATGCAAAGAACAGTAAACAAAGCAGCGATAGCCAAAAGCAGTTGAACCGAAAAATTTTCAAATGATCATAAACAAGCAAGCAAGCAGACAAACAAGTAAATAAATGAATAACCAAGCCAACAGCAAAAAAACAAATACAATAATAAATAAATAAATAAATATAAAATTTTCCCGCCAATAAAAAACGCGCGCGTGCGCTGGCTGTCATGGCGTCTGCCTGTCACGTGACTGATGGGATCATGAACCCCTGGTGTGCTATTGTTGTGCTGCTGTGTGTGTGTGTGCTGTTATGTGTGTGTGTGTGTGTCTAGATAGACGATAGATAGATAGATAGATAGATAGACAGACCGACAGATAGATAAATAGACAGACAGACAGACAGACATATAGAGAAAGAGAGAGAGCTATACGTATAAAAATAACGACAATAATTGATGAGATTTCTAGAACCAAAGAATGAGAACTATGAGTAGGTAGGCAGATAAATGTTAATCCATTGAAACTGCCACCAATTCCTTTACGTCATAAATAAAAACAACAATAATAACAACAACAACAAAAACAACAACAATAATAATAATAATAATAATAAACCGAAATACCTATAATATGATTGATAGTGAAATATTTCCTGCGGTGAATTTCAATTAACTTCGATTTCAAAGTCACTACAGTTACAACTACTACTAAAAACTACTACTACTGCTGCTGTTACTACTACTACTACTGCTACTACTACTACTGCAACTACAATTCAACTAATAATAGAACAACTAATACTACTAAAGCTACAAATACATTTATTTTGACAGAGAAAAAATTGAAGTCAGAGAAAGAAAAGAGAGGAGAGGAGAAAGAGAGAGAGGAAGAGAATGATGCTGCTACTACCACTACTTACCACAACTTACTACTTACCACTACTGCTTACTACTACTACTTACTACAGCTACAAGAGGCGACCCTATAGTAAAAATCTCATTTAGTCCGGAAATGACCATCCATCTAGGAATTATTTTTCTGGATGCTGCAGATAAAATAACTGACGGCCAGCAGAATAATAAAAAAGAATAAAATAAAATGAACGCGTTCGCTCGTACTGTCAAACTAAGGAAATAAAGTTACTACTACCACTACTGCTGGTATTTTTAGTACTACTACTACTATAGCTACTACCACTACTACTACTACTACTACTACAGCTACTACTACTACTACTATTACTACTACTACTACTACAGCTACTAAAGCTACTGCTACTACTACAGCTACTAGAGCTACTGCTACTACTACAGCTACTAGAGCTACTGCTACTACTACTACTACAGCTGCTACTACTACTGCTACCGATAAATATAATGATAATAAGATCGTTGATAAATGAATACACGTAGCATAAGAGTGATCCTAGCAGAAGTGACACATAAAATATAATGAATATGAAATTACACACAAGCACGACAATAACGAGAAGAACAAGAACAAAAACAAAGAGAACAAAAAACAAAGAGAACAAAAAACAAAGAGAACAAAAAAAATAATAATAATAAACATCACATAAGAAGGTTTTAATTTCACAGGCGACTGCATACACTCACTCCCCATCCGTTCATTCATGCCTGACTTCACCCATTATTATCACCGCCACCAATGCCACTACCATTCACGTCATCGTCGTCTTCACCATCGTCATCACCATCATCACCAACATCTTCATCATCATCATCTTTTCCATCATTATCATCACCGTCGTCGTCGTCGTAAACATCACAATCATCATAATCACACAAACCTTTTCCGGTTGGAAATGGCGGGAGTAAATTGGACCTTGGCGTGTCGCATCTCAACGTCACATTCCCGTCTGTGACGTCATCGACTTCGCCACCAGTAACGTGGTCGCTAGAAATCGGGTCGACGTGGGCGGGGGTTGACCTATTGAGGCCGTGCCCGACGAATGAGCACTCGTAACGTTCGGTCAGCAGGAGGGGTAGGTTTTGGACTTTTATGATGATCTTTGGAGGAAGTGATGATGCAAACAACAATTAAGCAAACAACCAACCAACCAACCAACCGACCATAACCAACCAAACAACAAACAGCACACAAGACACAAAAAACGAAAACTAACAACGGAAGTTAAGTTGTTAATCTTTTCAGCGTGGCTTGGCTTGACCTCGATAATTTTGGCACAGCTGCCCTTGGTCAGCCATCTCTGCGGCTTATCTGAGTCCGAACACTGGTCCATAGGAGTGCACCTATCAATTATAATTTCATAATTTTAAAATTATTTCATTATTATTTCATTGTTATTATTATATCTTATATTATATTATATATTATATTATATATTCATATATTCTTTCTTTCTCTTTGTCACTATCGAATGTTTAGAGCTTTAATTATAGAATTTAATTCAAAATTCATAAATATATTTCTTCTATAAACCCTCCATAATAATAAAAATTCATAATAATTCATAATTATTCACAATAATTATCTATAATTATTCATAATAAATTCCCAATGGCAGTGTACTGACTGTTTCTGAAGAGAGCACCAACCACAGAAAGGGTCTCTAGCAGTAAGACAAGCATGGCATGTCCTGTGAGTATGACACTGCTCTACTGCTATCTTGTAAACCTGGTCGATCGGTCGATTAGTTAGTTGGTCGGTTGGTGGTTAATTAAATGATTAACCAGTTAATTGATTGATTGAATGAATGATTGATTGGATGATTAATTGATTAGCTAATTGAAGCTGATTATTAAGCACCGTTCTGTTTGCATAAGCGAAGAGATGCTTGTGATTCAGATCAAAGACCATACTCTTGCCCACAGGAACATTCGGCTTGTCCAGTGTGATTGTATCATATACGTATGCCTCGGTTGCTGATACTAAGTTAACCTGGTGACAATAATGTAATGTGCCGGTGATAATGTGATGTGATGATGTAATGATGTCACGTGCAACATACACACACACACACACACAACACACACATACACACACACACATTTGTAACATTCATACACATCAAAGGACGTAGATACACATTTAGACCAAGGTTTGAACCTAGTTATATCACAATAACAACCTGAGCCATTGCACTCCTACGGTTTTGACTACTCTAGCAACCGTGTGAATGAAAAAATACATACCTATATAGACAGACATACGGGCAGCGAACAAACAAAACCCATCACTCCATATTAAAAAATTTTCTCCAAAAATTAAAAAAAAAACGAGTAGAAACATTTAACGAGAGGTTGGTTGATCGTAAGGGTAAGAAAGATAGAGTGGAGTAGCATATGCTTCCATGTGATCATTCGCTAGATTATATCGCCATGTGGTTGTTTGTGTGCAAAACAATTCATCTCTATGTATGTATGTATGTATGTATGTATGTATGCGTGTGCGTATGTATGTGTGTGTGTGTGTGTATGTATGTAAGTGTAGTTATACATAAACACATCTATAAAAAATGTCCAGGATAGGCAGAATAAAGAGTCCAATTGGAAAAAATTGTCTGCCATCACCATTAAAATGTCTGTAAGACCATCATTTGCAATAGATATATATTATCATCGTCGTCATCGTTATAATCATCGTCATCATCATTATCATCATCGTCAGTAGCAGCAGCAGCATCGTCATCATCACCACCAACATCGCCATCAGCATCATCATCATCTTCTTCAACACGAATAGCAAAGAATCATCTATTTACAAAAATTTTTTATTCAATCATTCCTCTGAGAAAAGAGCGGTCATCATTCATCCGCTAATCTATCATTCATTCATTCGGTCATTCGTTTACTCTTTCGTTCTTTCACATTCATTCATTTTTTTCTCTTTCAATCATTCATTCATTCATTCATTGAAGATATTTTCATTTAAAAATTTTTCAAATGTATTCTCACATGTTCACTCGATCTCTCATTTGTTTACATTTTGCTGAAAAAAATTTCTCTTTTCATTTTTTTTATTAAATTCGTTCAATCAATCATTTCTACTTTTTTCATTCCTTTATCTTTCCTTTAACAATTCATTCGTTCAGTCATTCACTTTGTTTGTTTGTTTACATGTATGTACGCAGGTAGGTATGTATGTGTGTACGTATATATGTATGTTTGTTTATTTATTATACACTAACACACACACACACACATACACACACATAACATACATACACACACAGATACATGCATACATAGTATATTAAACTACTTGACACCAAAAACATCAGCCTCTAAAAGTATTTCCCAAAAGATGAAGTATGCAACACAGTCATCGTCGTCGTCGTCATAATAATAATAATAAACCTCATAACAATAATAATAATTATTATATTCGTCATCATCTTCTTCATCATCAACAACAACATCACCCTCATCATTATCATTTTCGCATTTTCAAAACGTTTAACATTTCAAGAGTGGACTATATTTTTTTTCAAAATTATTACAAGCACTATTACTAATACAACTAATAATAACAATAATAATAACAATAATAATAATAATAATAATAACAATAATAATAATAACGATAAAGCTACTTCTACTACTACTACTACTACTACTATAACCGAGTAGATGGATTGTATATACTATGGGAAGATGAACTAATAACTGAATTCATCTCTATGGCCTAAAAAGATCAGTCGCTTTGTACGTACGTGTGTCTATGTGTGTGTGCGTCTATGTGTGTATGTTTGTGTGACTGTGAGTGTGTGTATGACTACGTGTGTGTATGTGTGCGTGTGTTTGTGTGCGTGTGTGTGTGTGTGTGTGTGTCTTCTGTGTAAATGCCTGTTTGTAAGTGTACTTTCAAAAATCACAATCAACTCTATAATTTTCAATTTCTACATTATCATCACCATCATCATAACCATCGTCAATTAATAAACTAACAAACGAAATCCTACCAATCAGAAACCGTCAAGAAAACCAACCAGCCAATCACAAACCTATAAACTCAACAACCAGCCAATCACAAGCAGGACCAAACCAACCAGCCAATCACAAACAAGAGCAAACCAGCCAGCCTCTGACGAACCTTCTCAATGGTACCATGATCTGTGGCTAAAAATAGAACCGTGTCCTCATTACTTGCCATACCGACCACACCCGTGGCCTTAACTTCCGGCAAAATCAGAGTTGGACTGGCCGCAATCGGATGGGTTCCAACTATCGGTCGATTAAAATCGAACTCACCGCAATAATCGTCAGTGATCGGTAGGGGCTGAGGGGAGGAACCAGAAGACATGCGGGTGAGGTATAATAATAAAACTCTTTCATTAAAAAAGATCAGTGACATGAAAGATGAAATAGAACAAAATATGGTCATTGTCAAATAATTGAATGCACATTAAAACCCTATCACTCATTACCTATGATAGGTAACCTAGTTAGGTGACATATTTGAAAGGTTATACAATGTTTCTGTCGCAATAAGATAGCGTAGGTCAATTTAATTGCAAAATAAATTAATTTGTCAATAAAAGAAACAAGCCATAAAATTTTAATTAATTGAAAATTGAAAGTATTAAAGAAGCCAGTTGGAGTGATCTCAAACGTATTTAAACTAATCGGGGATGAAACTTGAAATTAAGTTACTGTACTTCGATAATAATGGTAATAATAATAATGATTATTATTATAACAATAATGATTATTATTATTATTATAACAATAATAATAATAATGTTAATAATAATTATTATTATTATAACAATAATAATACTAATAATAAAATATAACAAGAAGCACCAGGAATACCCAGCAATTAAAGAAAATTATAAGGATATAAGCAATTAAACGACTTTCTACTAACAGCCCATTGACACGGATAAGGTAGGGCATAGTAGTCTGGGCCGGTGTTGCCGATGCCTGGAAGGAGTATTAAGGGGTATATTTGCATACATGCATGCATGCATGCATACATACATACATACATACATACATACATACATACATACATACATACATACATACATACATACATACGTACGTACGTACGTACGTACATACATACATAAATACATACATACATACATACAAACAAACAAACATACAAACATACATACATACATAGGCACATACAAACAAAAATGCATACAAACAAACATAATTGGATGATCATTTATTCATACAAAATTTCAATTACAAGGACATTTTAGGTCGGAGAGAAAAGGAATTCTGTATAACAAATGACTTTAATGGCTCTGATGATGATGATGATGGTGATGAAGATAATAACAAAAATAATAACAAAAATAATAATAATAATAATAATGACAATAATAATAATAATAATAACTACGTAAATTTGTTAATAAACTTATCTGGTAGACATCAAACAAAACGGAGAGTACCAAATATATAATTAGGTATGCAAGATAAGCGCCTGGGAGCAAATATATGAATGGATGTACGTTTGCATGTATGTCGAAATGCATGCTTTTGTTTGTTTGTTTGTTTGTTTGTTTGTTTGTTTGTACGTAAGTAAGTGTATATAATCAATCAAACAATAGCCAACCGACTAACCAACTAAACAACCAACCTATCAATCAATCGATTGATCCATCAACCAACCAACCAACCATTCATTCATTCATTCATTCATTCATTCATTCATTCATTCATTCATTCATTCATTCATTCATTCATTCGTTCGTTCGTTCGTTCGTTTATTCGTTTGTTCAACATATCAATTATATTAATATTCACCTTGAAAGCAGGTCTGTATAGCTACAGTAAATTGACTGGCTAATTGTCGCATTGGATACATGCAGATGGCTGAGCTGATGAAAATAATAATTACAATAATAAAATAATAATTATAAAAAATAATAATTATAATAACAAAATAATAATTATAGTAATAAAAATTAAAAATAATAACCCTGGCATGGTCGGGCCAACGTTGTCCCAGAAAATTTTATTGTTATTCTTATTCTTTCTCTCATTATCACTGTAATCTTGGAAGTTACTATCGCCGTCGTCATCATCCTCAACAATGCCATCATCAAAATTGCTGCCACCATTACTACCGCTACTACTGCTGCTACCACCAGTGCCACTAGTGGTTGAGTTTTTGGATCGGCCTCGAAACGGCGAAACTACCTGCCTGGCAAATACGCCGACTAAAACGTCATCATCTGAAAATCTAAGCCCCATGGTCTCTGCTAGTTTCGTGCCGGGTTGAATGACAGTAGCCGCTAATAAGACATTGTAGTCGATCACGGATGACGATGGCGTCGATTTCTTCTCATGTCTTTTTCGTTTGCTGCGGCTGCTGCTGCTGCTGTCGCGAGGCTGACGATAGCGATTGTTTATATCATCGTTGGCGTCATCATTGACGTCATCAACCGCCATCGATTTGCATTCGAGCTGCATGACTGTGAAGGAGTTGAAGTTGATATCTCTGTGGCATACTCTGGAGACCCTCGTCACCAAGTATTCAGAAAGTGGCGACGCCATGTTCGTCGTTCCCATTTGCAGGGAGATGAAGTAGCTGAAGTTTTGGTAGCTGAAGCCGTGCACGAAGTGAATTCTGTGTGCGTATGTGTGTGCGTGCGTGTGCTTTTGTGTATGTGTGTGTGTGTGTGTGTGTGCGTGTGTGTGTGCGTGTGTAGTTTATTCACCCATTCGCTCGTTCTTTTGTTGATTCGTTCATAAACTTATTCATTCATTACACATTCATTAACTCATTCATTCATTTGTGCGTTTGTTTGTTCATTCATTCAATCATTCAATTAATCAGCTATTCATTCATTCAATTAATTCATTCAGCCATTCATTCATTCAGCCATTGGTTCATTCACTCATTAATTCATCCATTCAGCAAATAAATAAAATGAGAACGGACTTGAAGATTTCTCTGATCTGAGTATCGATGTCGATGAATGACTTGCCATCTATGTCATCAGAGAAGAGGGAGAAATCCTGACAGGATTGTCATCATGGAGGATGATGATGAAGATGATGTTGCAAGAATAATCAAAAAAAAGACCAAACAACCAAACAATCAACAGCCAGACAACAGCCAACCAGCCAGACAACAGCCAACCAGCCAGACAACAGCCAACCAGCCAGACAACAGCCAACCAGCCAGACAACCAGCCAAACAACAACCAACCATAAACCAAGTACAAGCCAGACGACAACTTACATCCATGTTTCTCATACTCAGCATAGGAACATTATCTTTGTAGGTGGCCATTCCATCATCGCTTCTAGTGGCTGCAACGTAGAAAACTCTACTCTGACCTCCACTTTGTTGGTGTTGGTGAGTTTGTTGCTGTTGTTGGTGGTGGTGGGTGAGGGGGGGTCCAGGGGCGATGAACATAATGGTAGAGCAATTATCGCAGGCCGGCACGATTATCGTGTGAGTAGATCCGTCGGTTTTTGTGATGTCGTCCAGGTAGTATTTCTGACAATGACCCTGTGTGTATACGTGTGTGTGCGTGTGTGCGTGCGTGTGAGTGTAATCGAAAAAAAAGTCTACAAAAAAAGAATCAAACAGATTAAACAGAATAAACACAAAAAGAACTGATGATCAACTATAAATGACTGAATGAAAGAACGAACGAACGAATGAATGAATGAATGAATGAATGAATGAATGAATGAATGAACAAATGAATGAATGAATGAATGATCGAAGAAAAGAAAGAAAAAACAAACAAGTGAATAGATAGATGGATAGACGAAAATTAATGACTATAGAGTTTAGTTTACAGAATTTTTAAGCACAATCTTTTAAAGTGTCATCAACCAACCACATGGCTAATGCCTTGCATTATTCAAAGCCTCTTAATGAAGATGATGACGACGACGATGGTGATGATGATGGAAGACAAAAAAATAATTGGAGGTGAAATTGGAGATAAATAAGATCCTAAGAAAAACTCATCACCATCATCATAATCATTTTCATCATCATCAACAACGCCATCATCATCATCATCATCAACAACAAAAACAACGCCATCATCATCATCATCCTCACAATCATCCCCACCACCATCATCATCAGCATCAGCAGCAGCAGCTCCGGAAAGATATAAGGATATTGAGAACCGAAATGTAATTAAAGTTTTATAACAACAATGTCCCTTGTTTTGATAAAGATGGCAACAATAATAATAATAATAATAATAATAATAATAATAATAATAATAATAATAATAACAGTGGTAGCATAAGTGATAACAGCATCATCATTTGTTCAAGTAAAAATTCAGCCCCAGTGAGAAAAAGAAGATTTACATCTGTATCTTTTACTCTGGTTTCAAAAATCATGACAACAAAATTAATGAGATAATGATGACGACGATGATGACGATGGTGATGACGACGATGATGACGACGGTGATGACGATGGTGATGACGATGGTGATGACAATGGTGATGACGATGGTGATGATGACGGTGATGACGGTGATGATGATGATGGTCGCAAAAAAATTTATAGTTTTCTTAGAATTTAATGACAAAGGCGTTTAATGTTCATTACACTTCTATACATAAGTGCTGGACTAAATTAAGGAGATAAATTTTCAGCAAATTAAAAAAATTGAATTAAATAAATTCCTTTCTGCTTTCGTTTATTCGTCTATTCATTCATTCATTCAATCAATCAATCATTCACTCACTCACTCACTCACTCTTTCACTCATTCATTCGTCTATAAAATCAATCTATCATTATATTAACCTATATGCAATCACATTTAATCATGACATACATAAACAAGCAAACAAAAACATAAAATAAATAAACAACTGAATGAATGAATGAATGAATGAATGAATGAATGAATGAATGAATGAATGAATGAATGAATGAATGAATGAATGAATGAATGAATGGACAAAGGAAGCCAAAACAAATGAGCGAATGATGGATGGACAAAATGTACAACGGATGAATGAATGAGTTCTGGGTCAGTTCAAAAAAAATAGGTCATCTGATTGATGGATGGATGGATGGAAAAGAAAAATAGAAGAATACAAAAAATATAAAAAGTGAAATGAATTGAGGGGAAAAAGGTTTTTTTTACTACATGGACGAATGAGCAGTTTGTTGCTTTGCCGGAAAAGATGGATGAATGAAAGTATGAACGAACGAACGAACAAACGGACGAACGAACGAACGAATGAACGAACGAACGAACGAAAGAAAGATTGCAATCAATTAATGAAAAGAATTCAGGAGTGCCAGTAACTAAATAGTGCATGGTTTTAACAAAAGAATTTCAGATGAAAAAAATTTGTCAAACAGTTGGCCATTCTGAACTTAATTAAGAAGGAGGGGGAGGAGATGAGAATGGTAAGAATGATGAAAACAATTATTAAGAATGAAACTGATCTCAAAGTGGGATTGAAACCAATTAATAAACTGAATGGGGAACAATACATTGAAAGAGATAAATAATTAATTAACTAAACTTATGAGATGAATAATTAATTAATTAAACTTATGGGATAAATAATTGATTAAACTTATGGGATGAATAATTAATTAATTAAACTTATGGGATGAATAATTAATTAATTAAACTTATGGGATGAATAATTAATTAATTAAACTTATGAGATGAAATTTGTTTTAAAACAAAGGAAAAAGAAACTGAAATGAGACCTCAGATGGTGATGGAGTTACTTTCAAGAAATGAAAAAGAAATGATTAATTAAATAAAAAAAATCACGGAATTGAAGAAAATTAAACGAACAAATGAATGAACGAATGAAAGAAAAAATGAACAAATGAATGAGAGATTGAAAGAAAAAACAAAAGTGAAAATGAAGGAAAGCAAGCAAAATTTTCGCACCAATGACCCTATGGACCATCAATTTGAAAAAAAAAACGAAGAAATCCAAAAAAATTCTCTCCTCTGCTTCAGAAGAAAAAATTAAGCATATTTATTTATTTATTCTTTACTTTAAGAGTGAAAATTTTTTCGTGAATTTTTTAAAATTTATTTTGAAATGGATTTTATCAGATATGTACAACCAATCAGCCAGCCAACCTGACAACCAACCTTAAACAAAGTAGCACAGACAACAACTCTCCTCTCAACTTCGTCCACAACGATAGTCTTAACGATACTATCTCTCAACTGCGGCTTGAACTCATAGCAATCCTTCACTAAACACGAACAGTAAACTTCGAAAGGCCCGCAGTAAGGATTGTACAGATGTGGCCGAAACTTTAAGACATTTATTAGACTTAGATCAGAAGTTAGGTGAAAAATAGCATTGGGCGCGCTGATGAAAATTTTCCCAGTCAGCGGATCTTTGATGAGATGCTGGATCGTCGCATCGTGGTTGTCCGAACTTGTAACGTTGTTCTTCGTGCTGTTTATGACCGTCAGTTTGTACGACTTTATAATGTGATGCTGCTGCTGCTGTTGTTGTTGTTGTTGAAAATGCTGCTGTTGTTGGTTTAAATGTTGTTGCAGTGTAGTTGTTGTTGTTGTAGTTAGAGGAAGACTTCTCTGTTGAAATCGTTTTTGTTGCTCCTGACGTTGTTTTTCATTGCGCTGCTGTTGTTGCTGCTGCTGCTGCAGATATTGTTGATGACGATGTTTCAGTTGCAGATGTTGTTGTTGTTGTTGCGTGTTTGAGTGCGACGTCGCGATGAGCGTTGACAGGAAGAAAATTGTGGCCAGCAGCAGAAAAGACAAAATAGGAAAGTGACAACAACGACGGCTGGACGAAGATATTTCTTGCAGCCAGTCAGACATCATCGTGCAGTCTCCAAATAGATCTGCCTTTGCAAAATTATTAGTATCAGTATTTTTAGTAGTAGCA